ATGCATTCATTTATTCATTGAACAGATCTTTATTGAGCGCCCACTCCCTGCCAGGCCCAGTTCTAGGAAGGCCCTGGGGACACAACACTAACCAAGACACACCAGCCCCCGCCTTCACGGAGTTTCCAATCTAGTGATGTAGACAGATAAGAAGATTCAGTCAGGTAGGAGATTGGTGGGATTGGTGCATAGCAAGTTTCTAACCCAGGTGGGTTGGGGGTGGGAGACTGGAGAAGGATTCCTGGAGGAGGTATCCTAATGGCTGTGTAGCCCTTAGTCACATGAAACAGATAAGAAGCAGGGCCGGGGATGGGCAGCCAAGGGAAGAAAAGCATGTACAAAGCCTGGAGACTAGAGACAGCATGACACACCCCTTCTTTATCCCGACCCATTCCGTCTACTCAACGCACTTTCTGCACAGTCACTGCATTCCCAGCCCTGAGCTAGGCGCTGAGGAGACAGACAAGACAGAACACGCTCTCTCTCTGGGGCATCTAGGGACTCCGTAGGTTCCCAAGCCCCGGCTCACTCACCTAGGAAACGCTGCACGGCATTCACAGCCTCCACGTCGTTCACCACCTCAGAGAGGATCTCAAACTCCTGCGTGCATGCCAGGGCCCGTGAGGCCACCGTCTTGGCACCCAGGCACTTGGCCACGCTGCAGGAGGGGACAGGAGGGGCAGGGAGTGCAGGGGTCCAGGGAAGAGCTGGGGACTCATGTCTCCCCACAGCCCCAGGCCCCCCTCCCATCCTGCAAGGGCTGGGGCTCAGCATTTTAAGAGTCTGGAGCAGGGCCTGGCACAAAAGAGGGAGCCCACACTTGTGTGTCTCACGAACAGCTGACGGAGGCACATCACTCCCTCTGACGCTACAGCAGTGATTGTGCCGTTCCCTGCACAGACCCCAGAAAACCAAACATAGAAAAGGATTTTTTTCACTAATAACCATTTATCATGTCTATACTATAGCTAATATTTATGTGATATTTACAAGGTGCTGGATGCATCAATTTTCTCTCTTAATCCCCACAGTTACCCTTGGAGTTAGAAATTTATGACCTCCACACCTTGCTGTCCTATGCCATTGAACCCTAAGTCCCAGCGTCTGATGGGTGTTTCATAAAATGTAGGCAATAACGGTATTGGTGGATGGTTGAATAGCATCCCCCCCCCGAAAAAAATAAAATCCATGTCCACCCGGAACTTCAGAATGTGACCTGATTTGGACTTAGTTCTTTGCAGATGGAATTAGTGAAGATGGTATCCTATTGGATTAGAATAGACCCTAAACCCAACGCCTGGCGTCCTTACAAGAAGAGTACAGACTCCCAGAGAAAAACGCCACATGAAGACAGGACTGGTGAGGTAGCTGCAAACCAAGGAATGATGAGGGTTGCCGGCCACCACCAGAAGCTGGGACGGCAAAGAAGCATCCGCCCCTAGCATCTTCAGAGGGAGCATGGCCCTGTCAGCACCTTGCTTTCAGACACTAGTTTCCAGAACTGTGAAAGAATACATGTCTTTCGTTTCCAGCCACCTTGTTTGTGGTCATTTCTATGACAGCCACAGGAGATTCACACAACGCCCGTGATCATGGATGGTGGTAGCGGTGACCATGAAGAATATAAAATGAGGGGGTGACCGGTTAGCTCAGTTGGTTAGAGCGCGGTGCTGATAACACCAAGGTTGCCGGTTCGATCCCTGCATGGGCCACTGTGAGCTGCGCCCTCCTTAAAAGGGTCAGCAATGCCACTGTAGCATGAAAGCAATGTGTAACCAATGACCATGGCCGTTCCCTAGTAAAATTAAAAAAACAAAAACAAAAACACAGCATGTGTTCTTAAAATTGAAAAAAAAAAAAGAATATAAGATGAGGCCGGGTCTAAAGGCTGGACCACTCTCTATTAGTTTGTTTATAAGAACTTTTTCTCACTCAAATTCAAATCAGTTACAAAATGCCGTGGGGACAAAGCTCTCTAATGATGTTGCAGGAAAAAAATAAAAGCTATTGGGTCGTCGGAAAAGCCATGACGCATTTTTGCAACGAAAACCATAGAAAAAATACGTCATGACTTTTCCGACAACCCAATATCTAATATGAACTAGAAAAACAGCAAAACTGTATGAAGGATACAATCTCACCTTTTAAAAGTATAATTGATTCATATGTTCACTTCACAAACATTTGAAGTAGGTGTTGAGCATCTACTATGTGCCAGGTACATTTCATTTTAATGTAATGATTTATGGATGGGGTGGGGCAGAGATTGGGGAAAATGCAGCCCAATCTGAGCAATGTTCATTTTTGAACGGTGGAATTGAGGGTGATGTTTGGTTTTCTGTTACTTATGGCTCGCCTACCTTTTCTAACTGCAACACCTTTAAATTGGTTTTGTAATGACACAGACCAGCGACAGCTTGTTTTATTAATAACTGATAAGACTTCACTGAATCAGCCCCTTTAGCCACACTTTCAGCGCTGCCTTTAATTTAGATCCACATGACTGTGGTTGGAGTCCCAGGGTGAAGGAGACCCTCTTGAGTGGCCCCCCACCTCTACTAGTTGGGACTGAGAGGCCCTAAGGCAGCAATATCTCCACCCTCCAGCCCCCCACCAATGTGCAACCTGCACCTACCTGGTGATGTGCGGCAGTGTGACCAGTCTGCCTGCTTTGATGGCCGCATTGAAACAGTGCGCCCCTTGGGTCTCCACGGCGACAATGGGCACGTGCTGCCAGCCCACCTCCGCCAGGCCTGCTGACACTCCAGCCAGGAGCCCCCCACCCCCCACCGCCAGCACCAGGGCCCCTGGTGGGGTCCCCAGTGCTGCCTTCAGCTCCCGCACCAGGCTGATGTGGCCTTCCCTGGGGGGCGGAGGGGGAGGGAGTGGAAGAGAGAGGAACAGGGTGAGGGAGGCTCTCAGCCCCAAACACATAAACACAAACTTCCCTTCATTACCACTCCCCTCCCCACTCACAGCAAAGGGAGAAGAGACCCTACGACACTTACTCAACTTTCATCATTGAATTTACTCGTTCACTCATTCTCCCCCACCTCCAACAACTTCCCAGGACCAGCCTAGCACTCGGAATCAGCTCAGCTCAAGTGCTGGGCCTGGGGACTCGATGTCTCTGCCACTTACTAGCTGTGCGATCTCAGGCAAGTTGCCTGACCCCTTGGTGCCTCAGTTTCCCCACCTGTAAAAATGGGCATAAATCGCCTATCTCTCGGGCTTTGGGGAGGGTTCATGGACCGAACGTCTCCCACAGCACACGTTCAATAATAAGGGGATTTAGTATCAGCACGGCGTGTTACACATGTGGAAACTGAGGCACGGGGTGGTGAGATGCTTTGCACAGTGACACAACCGACCAGTGGCAGAAGCGGGGTCTGAATCCCAGTGTGCCTGGATTCTACGCCTCTTCTACCCTCTGGGCCTCAGTTTCCTCTCCTGTTCAATGGGGAGACCCCGGCTCAGGGAGGGCCTCTCAACTCGGAGCTCCATGGGAAGAGAGCACTGCCCTTACCATACCAGGGGGTGGTCGAACGGGGGGACGTTTACCCAGCCGTCCCTCTTGGCCAACTCTTGTGCCCTCAGATTGGCCTCGTCCCAGACCTAAAGAAAAACTGACATCAGGAGACCCGGGAGTCAGGTTGCTGTGGAGGTCGTCTCAGGGTCTGCTGCTGGGGATCCCAAATTCAGACGGCGTTTCAGGGGTACCCCACCCCAGCCAATCTAAGCAGAAGCTAAATGGCCAATAACAGCCTTCTCTCCCACAGGGTAGCAGGTGACAAGGGGGCCAGAGACAGCCTCCGCCCATCCTGCAGCACCCACTCTTTGCGAGGGGGACATGGAGAAGAAAACAAAAAATGCCGACATGGAATTCCCCATCGAGCTAAAGAAACGGGCCTCATTCTCTCAACACTGTGCCGCCCTTCATGCCTCTCACCTGAACATCGAGACCATTCGCACAGACTCCTCGCCTCCTGTCCATCGGCTCCGAGCAGCCAGAGTGAAAATCCCACCTGTCCTGCCCCTGCTCAAAATCTTTCATGGCTCCCTACGGCCTCAGGTTAAAGCCTATGTCAGCCGCGCCCACAGGCCGCCCTGCTTGGTCAGGCCCCCCGGCCCCCTCTTCAGCCTCACCTGTCACCACCATTCCTCCCCACCCCCACCCGGGATGCTGGGCTGCAGCTGGGTGGACCAGGCTCACGCCTTTTCCCATGCACGTTCCTCTACCCACAATCCCTCTCTCCTTTTACTCCCCTGAGAGGAACCATATTTCTCTTTCAAGACCCAACTCAGGGGACCCTTCTCCAGGAGCCTTTCCAGGACCCCCACCCCAAGTCCGAGGCACAGCCCGGTCGTGGTTGGCACCATCGCCCAATTCTTCACCCCCTCCCCCTATCAGAGTCACATACCCACGCCAAGTGGCTTCGCTGCTCTTTTCGCTAGACGGGGTGGAATACATGTCCCCACCCCACATTGATGTCGGTCTCAGCCATGTGACTAGCTCTGGCCAATGGCATGGGGCAGAAGTGACAGTGTCACACTTGGAGCCAAAGCCTTAGTAGGCATTGCACGTGTCCTCACAGTCCTGTTGCCATTCACCTTGAGAAGAACATGCCCCACGGGTCAAGGCAAAATGAAGGGCACGTGTGCAGACCTTAATCCTGCCTGCAGCCGGAAGCAGCATCCTTAGGGCCCACTCACAAACCCATGAGCGAGATGTTTCGCATAAGCCATTGACATTGGGGGCTGTTTGTTACGCAGCATTATCGAGCAGCAATGGCCGATTAAAACAATATACCTCCTCTTGTTCCGCAGTGCCCTGTGCTTCCCCCATCACAGCACTCATCACGTCCTGTTATCGTCGTCTGGTTACCTGTGTGTCTCCCCAACAACACTGTGAGCTTCACGAGAGTAGAGACCATGTCTTACTATCTCTGACTCCCTAAGTGTCTCACACACATAGCGTAGGATACAGTATGTCCTCAGTGAATATCTGTTGGATGGAAGGAAGAAAGGAAAGAAGGAAGAAAGGGAGAGAAGGAGGGAGAAAGGGTGATGAAGTGAAGGAAGGATGGATGGAGGGATGGATGGATGGATGGATGGATGGATATGAGAGAAGAAGGAGAAAGAGTGATGGGTAGGAGAATGGTTGAATAGATGAATAAATACATGAAGGGAGGTAGGGAGGGAGGGAAGGATGGAGGGAGGGAGAGAAGGGAGGAAACTATATATACAAAGTATATGGAAACCAGCTTTTGGGTATCATGGTATGTCTTTTAATTCTAATTTTGATGGCTTTTAAAATTTTGTTTTCCAGGGATGCATTGTTTTTTCTTCTTCTTTCCAGGAGGGTAGAGGGGTTATGTGTTTGTGTCTCTGCTGTTTTTGGTAACAAGGTGATCCAGTGATACCCTTACCACTGGGCCTCTTTCATATTGGGGTAGCCTCGGAATGGGAATTCATGCTGCCGTGTAACACTTTTTGTCTCATCAAATGGCAAACATTTTAAAGTGGATAATATTATACCAAGTGTCAGCAAGGATGCAGGGAGACTGCCATACTCCTGGTAACCACCAGCTTCCTGTCCCCCCCCCCAACGGGGTTCATGCAGGAGAAGCCTCCTCAGGGTGGGGACAGGGAAGTCGGGGTTCCCAGCCTTCAGTACCCATCACACCTCACTCCCACCCCGCCGCTCAGCCACCCTAAGAGAAGGCTGGGTCCCAGGCAGAGGCCATCAAAAGGAAAAAGAGACAATCTCTTAGGAGGTGGGGATGAAGGGGGAACGGACCATACCCGATAGGTTCCCCTTCCTGGGGTGCTTACCTTTCCAGTCAGTTGAACCTCGGCCCCCTCCCCCTGCAACCTCTTCACCACCTTCAGAGAAGTGCCCTCAGGGAGCACAATAGTGGCAGGGATGCCCAGCTTCCGAGCACAGTAAGCAGTAGCGACACCCGCGTTGCCCCCTGTGGAGGCAGCAGAAGGGGGTGCAGTGGCCAATGCTGCATTAGCCTGTTGACTTACTTCTTTCCCTCCCTCTCCATTCCCCTTTGGGAGTCTTCCCTCACCCACAGTCATACGCCCCACCATTCAGTCTTCTCCCTGGCCCCAGAGGTGGACACGTGATCTAGATTAAGCCAATCAGAGAACTCAGTCGCCTGACCGGTGATTGGCTCCGGGTGAGTACATGACCCGATCTGGGCCCAAAAGACCAATTCATGGATTGAGGTGGGCTATCGGGAAGGGGTGCTCCCTTTCCACTAGGGTTGGTAGGATGGTAGGAGGCAAGCCTGGTACTCCTGACGGCCACCTTGCTACCCGGAGGCCTGTATGAGAACACAGCTAGTATCAAGGAAAGAAAAGCCAAGAGACGGAGAGATACAGAGAACTCCTGGATCCAACTGTGCCTGAAAGCCATTATCCTGAGACTTTTCAGTTCTTGCAGTCTGTAGCTTAAACCTGTATGAATGAGGTTTCTGTCACTTCTACCACGAGTCCTGAATGATGGGAAGAGAGCAGGGAGAGGACCTAAGAAATGGCCATCTGACCATGACCTTTAAGAGGAGCTGGGCCCTTGAACATCCACTGCTGCCCCAGCCGGCCCCAAGGACCCTCAGAAATCAGAAATGGGCTAGGTCACCTGAGGAGCACACCAGGTGTTTGCATCCCTTCTTGGCCATCTGAGAAGAGAAGGAAATGGGGTTGGGAGTTAACCCAAGCAGGTGTCATGCAGGCCTGTGTGGGGTGGAGTTAGACCCTCCCCATCTCACCCCCACATTCCTCACCCCTCCTCCTGTCCATAGCTCGCTACTCCCAACAGTACAAGTTTACTTCACCCTTCCTGCCCTTAACCCCAACCAGCTCGTATCCCTCACCCCTCCCGTCCCTCCTGCACAACCTCACCCCTCCTCACCGGCCCACACACACTCACCTCCTGGCAGAAATGCCCGATGCCCCGGATCTTGAAGGAACCAGCTGGCTGCACATTCTCACACTTGAGGAAAACAGTTGTGCCCGCCACCTGGGACAGGGCCCAGCTCTCCAGCAGAGGCGTGACAGTGTGGAAGTGTTCACCCTTAGCACACTCTGCCAGAGGGCCCTCCATGCCAGCAGCCACCTAGGGGACCTGCAGGACGACGCAAATGCCATAGCCCAGGCAGCCCCAGGCAGGAGTCCCCTTAACCAGGACGGGGAGGGGGAGGTGCAAAGCCCCACCCCCACCCCCGCCTGGCTCCCTTAGCCCCGTCTGGCTGCCAACCTGTGAGATTCCCGGCAGGTATCTGCACCTCCCTGGGCCTCAGTTTCCCCATCTGGAGAAGGAGGTATGGACTAGGGGACTTTCATTCTGTAACTGTGGCTGCCCACAGCGCTGGGGATGGAGAACACGGCCAGTAGGCGGTGTAAATTGTGATCACAAAACGGTCATCACCCTTAAAATAGTAATAATAACTTCTTAATGTCATCAAGTATCTGTTAAGTGTTCAGATTTCCAATTGTCTCAGTAAGTGTGATAAATGGTGGGTTTTGCAGTTGGTGGTGGTTTGGGGTTTTTTTAACAGTTTGAATCAGGATGCATACAGAACCTGAGCATTTTCATTGGTTGGGAGGTCTTTTCATTTTGTTGTTTTGTCTTGTTTTTTTGTGTGTGTTTTTTTTAATCTGTAGGGGTAACTCTGAGATGACCAAGAAGCAAGCCACGAGAAAAGCATTTAGGAATGGAGCAACAGATAGAGCCACCCTGATCTAGAAATGAACTTGGGTGTTGCGGGTGCGGGGAGGGTGGGGCGGTGAGGAAGGCGTCCCCCCCCCACAGAGAGGAGTTGGGACATTATTCTAATTCTGCCTGCGATGGAAAGCAATGGGAGATTTTAAGGCAAGGCGCGGGTGAATGAGTAGTGAATAGACCAGTGGGCCAGGGCGAGAAGAGAGGGGAGAATGAGAGGAAAAGTAAGACTGTTTTTTTTAAAGGAACCAATGCAGCCTCCCTTTTTTTGTTTGGGGCAGAAAAGCATTGGGCCGCCCCCTGCAGTTCCACTATTTGCCAGTAGGAGGAGCGCTACAACCACCCCGCACCTACCACAAGCCCAAGCTTCTTGTCCGCCTGGTCCTCCCAGGAGAAAATTTCAGGACTCCCTCCCCTGGATTTGACTCCTGGCCCTTGTTGAGCTGGGCATGGCAATGGGGGAGAGCAGCCCACGGGTCACCCCAACCCAACGAAGGCCTCACTTCAGCCCCAGAGTCCAAGGATGTGGGCTTTGGGGGCCAATCAGAGACCAAGGTTAGAGACCAGCTAACTGGGTTGTGTGACCCAGACAAGTATCTTAATCTCTCTATGCCTCTTTCCCCATCTGTAATATGGGAATAATAACAGTCTCTAACTCACAGGTTATGGTGCAGATTAATAATAATAGCAGCTATCTTTTGTTGAGTCCCTACTATGTGCCAGGCATTGGCTGACTCCTCTGGAAGTGTTTCCTCACTGGAGCCTTCTAACAATGCTGGTATGCTCACTCTTACTCTAGCACCTATAAGGTGCAGGTCCTGACCTAGGAACTGGGGATACCATGGGAACAAGACAGACATCTACTCTTAGAGCTGACTTATATAGTCTGACGGGGAGATCAACATTCAACAAACAACTGTATAGACAAACAAACTAATCAGAAATGGTGAAAACGGCTAAGAGGGAAACATGCATACAGGGAGTTTTGATGAGAAGGAGAAAGGGACTTAACTTTGGGTAGGGAGGTCAGGAAAGGCCTCTTGGAGGAGTTAACCATTAAAACTGAGACCTGGAAAGTGAGAATGAACTCACCATTCAACAAACCGGGAGAAGAGCCTGTGCATCGCAGGATGGTTGTGAGGATGAAATGAGGCCATGTGATACAGGCATCAATCTGTGCCTGACATATTATAACAACTATGATTAGCTGCGTGGGACTTACTGGGAGCCAGGCAATGTGCCAAGCAGCTTATATATTATCTCATCTACTCCTCCCAACCCCCCCGGAGATAGGTTCAATTATTAACTCCACGTCATGGACAATGAAACTGAGGCCCAGAGAGGTTATGTAACTTGTGCAAGGTCAGAGTTAGAAATGGCACAGTCAGGATTCGAACTCAGGCAAAGCACTTCGGTATCTGTGCTCGTAACCACCGTGCTATATACTTGATTGTAGTAGCATCATCATTATTATTGTTATTAATATTATTGTTATTAAACGTATGACTATTTCATGCTTAGGTGCCGGTTGTCCTTAGGAGCCAAATGCTCAGTCCCCAGCCCTCTTGGTTATGCCAAGTGCCCACGAGAGGACAGCAGGCGTCGGTCAATTGAACAAGCCCCTAGTGGCCCCATAGCTTTATCGAACCCGGACGCCCATAAGGGCACAGGCCTCCCAGGCTGAAATCTGGGGCCAACCTGGGGCCTTGGCCTAGGTAATACATAGCCCTCACTATGAGTGGCAGCTGCTAGGGCTGAGATGGAAACCCTGGACCTTGTCTACTGGGAAGCAATGCCGTGGGAAGCCCAGGGTCCCAGCGAGATGACCTTGGCCAAGTCACTTTTTCTCACTGGGCCTCACCTGTTGCATCCACGAGTTGGGTAAAGACCAGCTACCTTGTCTAGCTCCCTTATCCCTCAGGCTTTCCCCCAGAGGCCACTTGGATGACACTCCACAGCCAAATCCCTGGTGCCAGTGCTGGGAAACCTTGGCCGGCCCTTGGGTGGCAGAATGCCCAGCCCTGCCCCTCTGGCAAGCAGGACCCGCTCCTCTTTTTCTGCGAGGCGGGCTGGGCCCCAGGACACCCTGAACCGAATCGATATTCCTGGGAGGGCTTAGGCCACTCTCACCCTCTCTCCCTGTCCATCTACTCAGCTGGGACTTTGCCCCAGAACCTTCCAGGCTACCCTACATGCATGTTCACACATGCACACAGAGCCCCAAGGGCCCCATTTGAGCCCCAGTCCCGCTTACCTTCCTGCCCACAGTCCCTGGACCAGCTTGGCTGCAGCCTGATGCCCACCGGCCTAACTGGGCACCAACTCTGCCCGGCTTCCGGCAGCCTCCTGCAGCCTTGGCCCCTCCTCCCGTGTTAAAGGGACAGCTCCCAGCTGGAGGGGGAAAGAGAATGAGATCAGTGTGCTGTCTATGACACATCCATCCCCTGGTCTCATTTGACAGATGAAGAAACTGAGGCTCAGAGAGGACACCCAGTCAGTGAGAAAGACGCTTTACTTCTCACCCTGGACCACCTGTTTCATACCACAGACATCTCCAAGCCCAGTGCTGGTCCCAAGAAAATAAGGACCAAAAAACCATTGTTATCTGTTACGTGAGAAAGGCACATTTTTCTGGAATACCTCCTCATCTCTGATATTTCACACACAACACAGGAACCCATACAATTAGTTATTGTTCAAGTGAATGACTCTGGCAATTGATTCACTTATTCAACAAATATTTACTGGACACTTAGTATGTGTCAAGTCCCAGGACCTTTAGCCTCAAACAAAACAGAATATGCTCCCTGCCCTCGCAAAGTCCTAAGGGTCCCTTGGGTGGCAATTAGTGCCATAATGTATTGGCAGGTGGAGGTGGTGCAGGGCTGTGGGTCCCCAGAGCAGGTACCTCACCTGGCCCCGAGGGACTGGGAAGGCTTTCTGGAGTAGGGGGAGACTGAGCTGAGCTAGGAGTCAGGAACATGACGTGCAAAGGTCTGGAATTGAAAAACACAGTGTGTTCCAGGAATCAGAACGCGTCCAGTGGGACTGGAACAGAGAAGGCAGGGGGCGGGCAGCAGGCAGGTTTGGGCTGGAGAGATGGGCAGGGACCAGCGTCCACAAGGATGGCTGTGCCAATCCAGAGTCTAGACCTTACCCAGGGGACTAGGGAGCCGTGGAAGGCTGTGGGCGGGAGAATGACATGCTCAGATTCCGGGCTTGTCTCTGTCACCATCTCACTGGGTGAACCTGAGCTAGTCACGTCCATCTGGGCCTCGGTTTCCCTCAATGTAAAATGGCAGGTAAGGTCTAGTAAGCACCTGGCAACCCAGAGGTCTGTGCCCTTCTTGGGTTTTGGGTGACCTCCTCAGGTTTGATGATTAACTCTCGGCTGCTTGGGGTCAAATCAAGCTGCTTGGCCGTGACCCCTGAAGAGGACTCTGTCAGCTTCGTCCCCATCCTCACGTTAAACATACACCCATCCTTGTCAGGTGTCCTGTCCTGAGCTCTGGGAACACGGGGTGCTAAAACCTAACTCATGCCCTGAGGTGGCTCCCGGCCTGGAGGGGAGAGGAAGACACCCAATTCAGTAGCGATTCTAACACCCCCTAGGAGGACGGAGAGCAGGTGGTCCCCACAGGACAGCGGAGAGTGGAGTGGGATCCAGGAGGACTTCCTGGATGAGCAGGGCCTTAGCACACAGCTCAGGCTTGGACGAGAAGCATGGTGGCTGCATTTATTGCATGCCTACTGTATGCAGCCCTTTCGTGTTGACCAGCATATTCCAAATGTTTTGTGGGTTGTTTTTTTTATAAATTTTATTGGGGAACAGCGTGTTTTCCCAGGACC